GTGGACATGATGACGGCGTGAGCAAAGGGGGGGGAGAAGAAGAATATTAGGTTAGAGATTATTTTTATTATGGTTAAGATTTGATGACTTAACCTTTTTTAATACTAAAGTAAAAAAAACAAATTTGGTAAATAGATAAGAGAAAAACTAAAAACATAGTAAATAGAAAGGGCTAATTCTGAAATTTTAAGTATACTAATTGTTAAACACCTAATTATGGTTTAAGTCACGTTAAATAATCAATTATACCTACCWAACATAATATACATGCCTATTTCCCAACAATGAATCAGAATAAAGTATGACATCCATAACATCGACCCAATGACAAGGGAAAACTAAATGCTATTGGCAAGCCTCACTATTAATTAGGTTGTGTAACCAAGCAGGGCCTCCAATTGAGAGATATGAATTGAAGCGGTCATCTCTCGCCACACTTTGAGCTATCGCTCTTGCAACAGAGTTAGATCGTGTTGTCTCTAGTTCAAAAGTGCAGTTGTCGAACCCAGATTGTAGCCTTAGAATTTGCTCAACGAACACTATGTATCTTGGCCACTCCCAGTTTTCGCTATTGCTTCATACACAGATCGGCAGTCAGATGCAAAGATCACGTGTTTGATATGTAAATCTTGTAGGTTTTGCATCGACCAAATGAGGACTCGAAATTCTGCTGTAACTCTGTTCCGTGAGCATGTGAAAGCATCACAGGCGTGCAACAATACTGATCCGACACGATTCCGAGCAATCCAAGAACCACCATCGTGTAGTAACAAAATTCAATGTTATGTTTAAATGGAGTCAACTAATGAAGCTTTGTTGTTAGTATATTTAGTCCCCTTGTAACTAGGTGCGATGCTATGTTTTCAAATTGTGGTTTCGTTGGTTTGTTTCACAACTCGGTTCGGGATGTCTTCATATTTCAATAAAACTCCAGATAGTTAAAAAAAATACTGTTTGTTTATCCAATTTTCTAATCTCTCAACCAACTCTGTAAGTAAATGTGAAACCGATCTTATAGTTTTATCTTGAAAACAGGGAAAATAGGGGGAGATCATGCTTATGACAAGGGAATAAGATAATGGTTTAAAACTCGATAAGAGCAAAACAAGAATGTCTTTAATTCTTTCTTTCTAAAACTATTTCT